AAGGCTTACCAAGAATGGTTCGCTACCCAATTCACTGCATCATCCTTTAATAATGAAATGAAATGGTACTACACGGAGGAGTTTCAAAATCAGGAAAACTACAAGAGTCCTGAATGCCATGATTTCTTTCTTAAGAAACCATGGGATTTCAATTCGTGGCCACAACATTCTTTAGGATAAACCAACCATGAATATAGATTGGGTACGAAACTTAACCCTTCTTGCTGCAGTTGCTCGTAAAATGGGATCTATAATGTCTGGATGGAAGTATCTCTGTAATATTTGCATCATGTTCTCTGGCCATTTTTGTTGAAAATGATCATAACACGTGCATATACTGGTAGTTACGACGGTAGGATAGATTACATAAGCATATGAAAGTGTAATCGTATGCTATCTTAAATGGTTCCAAATCATGTGACTTTTCATATGTTTTAGTGTGATTCTGAATCTTGTTGGTAGCTACTGGAGTTGTATAATTTTAAATAGGTATTTTTTTGGCAATGTTTGAGCTACCAAACTATTTTTAACAAGTTTGCAGATGCAATCTGAATTGTGTAGGCATAGATCTTTGTAGAGTAATCAATACTTTCTTACTGTAAAGTTCGTGCTGACATTCCAAAACCAATTAATCTAAATGTCCAGAATAGAGATTCACAGAATTGTGCCAGAATGGAGATGAAGCTGGGTCCCACACGTGTATAAAAAATTGGCAACAAAATTGCGGGCCCCACATGATTGTGTCTTTCCTGTAAGAATTCTGTTAGCCAAGCAAAGCTCTTCCAAAACCAAAGGTTTGGTTTCCCATCTTTTCTGTCATCTGAAGCATCTTGTCTTCTTGTGGTGCAGGAACTGTGTGCCCGTCTTGTGGTGCTTTTACGCAATCCTTTGGCTAAGGAACAGTTGGCTACTCAGATTCTAACTGTAATTCTTTTTTATCTTTGTTTTGTTGCACAAAAGTTACATATTTACTAACTTGTAAATGTAATTGTATTACATACAGGATCCAAAAACAAATAGATGAAATCATAAAATCGCAGATTACACCATAAACCCTAAATCACAACATCAAGGCTTAGATCTTTCAATCGAAGGCTCAGACCACGCCCATTTACCATCACAGAGGCACCGGGACTCAAAACACAAACCCTCACAACCCAACACACCAAGGTCACTTCACTGGACTAAAGAAATCAAACTGCCTACCTTCGGTCGATTACTCACACAAAGGAGAATCACACAAGAACACGATTATCACAAAGATAATCAATCAGAAATCTCACAAAGAGAAGAAGGGTCACATAGACAGGGAACGCAAAGGTTCCAGTAGGCAGAGAGAGAAAGAAAACAGAAAATGACGATCCAAGAACCAAACAGGGAGTAAGGGGGGTATTTATAGTAAATATCATGAACCGTTGATCAGCAGGTCAATCCAACGGTCCAAGAGCGACTAATCGTGTGTGGGCTGGATATTGGGCTCGGTTAAGTGGGCCTTCTAGGTATATAATTAATGGACCAAGTATTAAATCCATTTTGGGC